GCCGAAACATTCATAACTTGAAAGCTCGCCTAGATGAAATAGATATTTTAGCCAATTCTCGTGGCACAAACAAGAATGATTGAAAGGGTATATGAAACGAGGGCAATGTAGGAACTGGTTTATTGTTGTAAATTGATTTGCTTAAGTAGCCAACATTAAATCTGCAGTTTAATTAAAGATAATTTTCGCATATGAAAATCATTTATTGTGATAACGATTGGGATTAGAGCGCTCGCAGCAACAGACTACCAACAAAAAGTAGAAAAAATAAAACTGTGTCCTAAACATATCATCAATAGAATGAACTTTTTGTAATGAAACAACCAAAGTGTAGCCGACGCACATTTCTTTAGGATTTGCGATCAACTGACCTTTCGCAATGCCCTTGCTTTTTTATTTGGTGTTGGAACAAGAAGCCAGCTTTGCTAGGCTGAGGTTTGCACCCATGTTCCTGACAATTTCTTGCCAAATGCGCGTTTGCGCGAGCTATCAGGCTGGACAAGTGCTCCTTAGTTTTGCGTTGCAGCAACACCCAGCCTGCCCTAAGGCACAATAGTTACATGTGTTACGAATGCCGTATAGCACATTTTTAGTGCAATCTGCGAACAGCGAAATGTTACTGCTTTTCCTTGCTCCTAGCTCTCTTTTAAGCATAAATTATTTTCGCTCAAAACAAACGCCTCCTATATACTTTGATTTCTGCCGAAAACACGATTTGTACTGGGTAGTTTTTCATCAGTTTTTTAAGTTTGTAGCAAATGCTTTGAAGATACGAAATTACTACTACCTTTAACTTGAATAATTTTGTCTCTGATTCAGAGTGAGAAGGTGATTTTATTCTTTTAGCTTTTTTTTATCTGTGCGCACGAGGTCCGGATTACAGTGAGTGGGTACCCAGCCTTGGTCAACCAAACAACTTGCTCCAGAAACGCGGTACTAACGGTATGAACACGCAATTTCTTCATTGCGCGACCAATACAAGACGCGACAACGCCAATCTACAGAAGTTTAGAATGGTTAGAGGCGATGTTTCAAATTGGATTTATTCTCCAGACTCGAAAAACCAGCAAACATGTTTCAGTGAAAATAGTATATTGAAACCAAGAACTTGTAATTTAATGTTCGCAGAAACTTCCGGCTTCAAGGTCTATTCGTTTTCACTGAGTATATTTGAAAATGAATTGATTATATTTGTAACCAGTCGTTAGAAGACACTCTTGCGTTCATATACTCGGCAATTTCGCCTTCCTCACTCTCAGGAACCATGTGATGGCAGAGCGACGCGCGCGTCCACGCACCTTCATCAGATTCGGAGGTCTCTTTAAAGCAGTCAAGTTAGTTGGATGGATTCCACGCTCACGCGTCTCCCCAGTGACCTTCCACAACCCACACATTCACGCAAAAATGAAGATACATGTACCACGTTCTAAGAAACAAAGCTCGCTGTTGACTGTAGAAAGCGTTCTCCAATTTTTTAAGAACACGCTCAAGGATTAAACATGCTACGACGAGCAATTTAACCTAATGTTGTGTCGTCAAGAAAGTTGGCTTTATGCACTGTTCCTAGTGGCACAATTACTCTTCTTTATTATTGTTAAACTGGGTGCTTCAAATATTGTGTACAAAACGATCGAAAGTCACGAAAACGCGTTATTTGTTTTCTACCTTCAAAATAGCTTTTAGGCGCCATGGTTGCCATAGTGCCAAGCACTCCGGCACTCACTATAAATTGGTTGAACAATTTAGGACGCCCCAGACGAAAATGACTGTCGCGCTCTTCCGTGTTTCGTTTTTTCCGAGGAAGTTGTGTCAACTAATTTGGAGCACAATTATTACTTGAGATCACTTTCACAATGTGAAAGTAGGGAAGACCTTGTTGTTAGAAAGACTTATACTCCTCCCTTTATCACAATCACCTAACTGAAGTGTTAAGAAAAGTAATTACCACACGTTTTTATTTTTTGTCCTCAAGTATGTACTTCTGTATCCGAACACGTCTGCTGCTACATTGCTTATTCTGAAGACCTGTGGTGAATACCATGTTTTCCTATTCGCTTAGAATCTTGGGCACATTTGAAGAGGCACTGGTAGACTGTTATTTTAACGTGCAGAAAAATATTTACTTTCAACTATGCTTGACTCCTCGTTGTTGTATTGTACTATTTCCAGTTCCGTGAAGACTACCGTCGCGTTTACGGTCCGAAACGGGCAAGTATTTCATTTCAAAACGCAATCTTTTATATGTGTCGAGGAAACGTAGTACAATAAGACTCGAACCCGTAAAGTAAGATTCGAACCCGTAACAGAACACCATATGAGACCTAAGGAATGTTATAAACAATGTTTAATTCATTTTTAAAGCCTCGCCGCAGTGGTCTAGTGGCTAAGGTACTCGGCTGCTGACCCACAGGTCGCGGGTTCGATTGCCAGCTGCGGCGGATACAATTTGGATGGAGGCGGAAATGTTGTAGGCCTGTGTGCTCAGATTTGGGTGCACGTTAAAGAACCCCACCTGGTCGAAATTTCTGGAGCCCTCTACTACGCCTTCTGTCATAATCATGTGGTGCTTTTTGAATGTTAAACCCCACATATCAATCAATCGGTCATTTATTTATGAAAATAAGCCAGTACGAGACAGTACCAAAAAAAGAAAGCATGCACTGTACCAATATCATTATTGCAGCCATCTACTGCAATCATTTCTTTCACAAATCATTTTTAAATCATTTTATTTTACAAGATATGTCATACTGTTATGGTTATCAACCTATTGAATCTTGGTTTGAGAGCACCGTTTTTATTGGAAGGTTACAAAAGCCGTGAGGCCACACTCCAAGCAATTGGGTTACGTAGGGTAGAAGCCCTTCACAGGTAGAAGGACTCGAAACCAACCCAGAAGCGGAAATAATATTGTGTTGTTACAAGCGTGCAGTTTAGCGCCAAACTGGCAGCCATTGGAACTTTTTCGAAGCGGTGCCATAAAAGCAGTGTTACACACGTTCGCTGAAGTAAATGATTTCCTCGCTTGCATCACTCATTGCGTCTCTCGGATTGTGTTTCCTGCTCATTCAGTGCTCATCTCAAGAAGTCGAGGAAAAAAAACAGCGAGCGCACGTACCTTCAGGCAAATAAGTAGGTTGTTTTACTAACAATGCTGATCAGGATTGGCGTAAAGTGCGTGCCCTTTTGATAAGGCCATCACAATCAACAAAGAGTACATGCAGCAGAATTCGGAGTCATCTCAGTAAACACGAATAATGCGTGATCTGCAGTAACCTTGATGGGTAAGTAGACTTGTCTAGATGCTGACGTAGTAGGAAAAAAGAAACACTCGTAGTGATGCGAAGAAAAAAAAATTCGCGATGTGGTTTTAATCACGCGTACGCTCTGGATCCAAGGTCAGCATCTTCACAACTCTGCTGTCCCGGCTAGAGCAATTCATGGGCTTAGGCCTACATGAAAACTCTCATTAGGAGAGGTTTTGTGGGCTTTGGTGACCCTTGGGCTTCTTTAAGCGTGCAGTTCGTTCTCTAGGGTCGCACGTATGTAGAAAGCCCTCCATGTTTTTTATACATGGTGACCAAGATGGAAACTAATGCAATAAAAACCACAAAATGACCACCGGCTCACCGTACGGGCTCCCTTACATCTGAGAGGTGTAATGCCACAGTCTATGAAACCGGAACCTTTACACTGAATGAAGCCTCCCGCACCTGTTTGTCGTCGGCGTTCCAGGTAATCCTGCCTATAGAACGCCGTCAACGTTTTTTCTTCATCATGAAGACCACGATCCAGCTACTGCATGAAACACTTGCACCTACGCATCAAGGATCGTTGAGGCACAGTGAAAAGTGTACGCTGATATGCCCGGGAAGGGGTTGAGGCTGCCACCCAGGATCCGGCGAAGGACGACTCTTGCGACACGTCTCAAGAACAAGTAGAAGATGCGTTTCATTTACATATTTGCAAGAGAAGTGCATTGCAACGAGAGCGTACTGACGCGCCTTTCCATCACAAGGGTCCAGAGCGCACTCGAGACGAGCGGGCTAGCGAAGTCCAGAGAGAGCTCTACGCACTCCCGACACGCTCCTTTTATAGCCGTCCGTGCACGCGCTAGACGCCGACTGCGTCCAGCAGGCCTGCCGATGCGCGTTTCTCGCAGCGCGCCAAGAGATTTCCCGCGTTCCTGTGGAACGCGGACAGCGTATGGCAGGTACGCCGATGAGCATCCCTTGCATGCCGGTTCCTTTTATTGCCGGTTATGACAGCTCGTCCGCCGTCCGAAGAGGTCACGTAAGGGCTGCAGTGGCGCTGCTCCCTGAAGTGGCCGTAGTCCGTCTCCGTTGGCGCAACACTATCCACCACAACACAGAGACACTCACCACATAGTAGGTCTTACGATAGGCACACCTCGACGTCGTAAAGAGGCCCAGCACATCACACGCTTGGTCACAGCATGGGATTGTCCACTGCTGCAAAGGCCCCGTCACCGCTGCCTGGTCGTCCACTGGCCGAAGGAAGCAGGGAGCCCTACCGAAGGGCCACAGTCCGCAATAGCTGGTTTGTCGTGTCCACCATGCTATGCTGTTGGACCGGTAGGCATAGCAATCTTCTGCCTGCCTTTAGCGGGGAAGACGCTCTCAAACCAGGCACCCACACTGAGAACACTCAGCTCTCCCGAGAATCACCAGGTGTAACTTGCTGCAAGGCTCGTAATTTATTGCACAACAGAAGACCACACTATGGTGGTGACCATGTCAACTGGAACAAAGAAATAAAAACGCGCGCACACACGCACACTCTTTTGATTCTCTACTATCCCTCGATTCTCTGCTGTCTCTTGCGGCATCTCTCGATTCCCTGTTTTCTCTGGACTCTCTTCCTCGGCTGCCATCATCCCTTGAATCCCTGGTGTCCCTGTAATCATAGCGTCTTGACTCCCCTTAATCTGTTCGACGTGAATCCTTGTGCTTTGAGGACTTCTCGGATGAGCGCTCTTCTTAGTGGTCTCTACGGTGGTGACTGCTGTGCCTGTGCTCGTGGCGTTCTCTTGAGCTGCTCCGTCGTCGGTATTTGCTGCTGTGCCGAGTGTGCTCTTTGCTGCTGCTTCCACTGCTGCTATGCTTGTCTCTCTCCTTTCGTCGTCGGCTTGAAGATGACGGAGACCTTTCTTCAACAATCTCACCTTCTTCACTGTTCTCATTATTGCTGTTCGTCCGCCGGTGACGCCGGTGCTTCCGATGCTGACAAGTTTCTTTCTTGTGCTTTGTCTTCCGCTCCTCATGCACTGGGCATTCAGTGTCCCTTGACTCTTGTCGCCAAGGCTCCTCCTGCTCCCTGACAACAGCTTCAAGATTGTCCACCAAGCTATCTGGGCTACTAGGCTCCGATATATCCTCCATGCCATTACTGGTATCTTCAAGAAGGCCTTCTTCTTCAAAAGAAGATATATCTTCAGTATCAAGGAGGTTGCCCAGGAGGACACCACCATGATCTGCCTTTTTAGACTCCTCTGGTGCAGAGGATGCGATGTCGTCACATGGTCCACCAGCTGCCAAACTGCTTTCTTCCAGCTCTTCCCCTTCCTCTTCTTCCGGTTCAGCCTCGGGACTTTCAATTTCCTTTGGCGAAGATGCATTGTCCTGTGTGTCTTCTTCGTCGCCTTCATTGATGTCTGCGGTCCTCTTTTCGTCGTTTTCTTGCTCATCTTCACCTTCTCCTGAAACCTCTGCTGATTGCTCATCTGCTGGCACTTCTTCAGGAGAGACAGGTGCTGAGGAGTCTTCTCCACTATCAAAAGGTGATGCCCCCGGGACCACATCTTCCGTTGGCGATGCCGGCACATCAACAGGGGTAGGAGGAGATGGTGTCGCTTCTAGTGGAGATGATGGACTTTCTTCAGCAGGGAGAGACGCAGGCGCATCATGCACGAATGAAGAGTCCTCTTTGGTAGGGGATACTGGAGTGTCTTCTACAGGCACTGAACTTGTTTCTTCATCTTGAGGGTTCATCTGTAAGCTTTTTTCTACTTCAGCTTGAGGCTGTACTTCTGAATTTTCTTCTTCCCCCTCTTCTTTTACCCCACCCTCCTCTGCCTCATCGCCATCTTCTGCTTCATCACCACCATCATCATTCTCTTTGGCTCCATTACTTTCATCTTCACCCTGTTCACCATCACTTGAGTTTCCATCCTCGACGATTTCCAGCACACCCTCCTCATCTGACACTTCTGATGTGCCCTCATCGTTCTCAAGAGATGGGCTCCTCACATTGTCTGTTTCCAGGATGGGACCTTCCTCCTCGCTCTCTTTGTAAGACTACAAGAGGTCCCTCATGCTCACTCGTGCGCCTGCCTGAATCTCTGCATTTTCTGTTCCCAGATCACTAGCGCCTTTTGCCTCTGCAATCTTAAGCTGAAGCCGCAAGCACTCAAGCTCCCTTTCTTGGCTTTCCGCTTCTTCTTTGCGCCTGACGGTTTCTCTTTCAAACATAAGGCGCTCTCACTCTTCGACTTCGTGTGCCCTTTTTCATCCTCTCCTGAATTAGCTCCCAGCACTCGGCGAGCTCCTCCGCATCCGCGCCAGAATCCTTAACCGCCTGTATTAAAAGTGACTTTCTATGTATAGTCGCCACCTGAATCCGTAGCTTCTGGCACAACGGCACTAAATCCGGTTTCCTCAATTTTTTCAAGTCCGTGGTCACCCCGTGCAGACTTCCGTTGCTCAAACTGCCGTGAAGGTACCTCTAATAAACCCAATCCTTCACAGAGCAGCAAATAATCTACCCTTTTGGATAAACATTACCATCTATCCAAAACACCTGGCAGAATCTCTACGGAAAGTAAGCACTCACCAGCATCGGTACCAAGAAAGAACATGAACCGATCCCGCCGCTGCCAACCAGTTGATATGCCCGGGGAGGGGTTGAGGCTGCCACCCAGGATCCGGCGAAGGACGACTCTTGCGACGCGTCTCACGAACAAGTAGAAGATGCGTTTAAATTACATATTTGCAAGAGAAGTACATTGCAACGAGAGCGTACTGACGCGCCTTTCCATCACAAGGGCCCAGAGCGCACTCAAAACGAGCGGGCCAGCGAAGTCCAGAGAGAGCTCTGCGCACTCCCAACACGCTCCTTTTATAGCCGTCCGTGCACGCGCTAGACACCGACTGCGTCCAGCAGGCCTGCCGATGCGCGTTCCTCGCAGAGCGCCAAGAGATTTCCGGCGTTCCTGTGGAACGCAGACAGCGTATGGCAGGTACGCCGATGAGCATCCCTTGCATGCCGCTTCCTTGTATTGCCGGTTAAGACAACGCGGAACCATCTAGATAGTGTACAGCGTCCTGTTGCTCGGTGACACTGTAGGTGCTTCCTTTTGCGACGGCCTCTCGCCCAGGACACGATCAACACCTGAGTCACTCGAGGCAATGTTTAAGCCTTCTTAGACAAGCAAACCGCCCCATGGAGGGCAGTTTCTCCTCCCAACAGCGCTATGGAGTTATACCGTTGTTTTGTTGAGCTCCGCTTATAGATTCATGCTTGACACTGCCTTCAGGGCATTCCGTGTGTAGTGACAGAGAGACAGGAGATGGCGTCATTGAGAGGGCAGACGTCTGAGCGCCAAGCACGCCACTTAATTGCGAGGGCTGAAACAGAATACCATAGCTTCCAGCGTTCTGAACCACCAGTAAGTGAACTCTTCCTGCAATTTTGCATAATTTGACGAAGACGCGCGGCGTGGTGGTGGGTGAATGATTATGATGATGCATGGCGAGGATGATGACGCTACAGTGCGCAACTAACACCAAGTTTGGCTTGACGAACTCGTGTATTTTGAAGCAAGCTTACTCGACAGCTGTAGAGGGCCCCAGTGGGACCTCTTGCGAGTTTTATTGGACCGAGGCCTGCTTCGCGACAGCATGGCTGTGTTTTTTGCAACTTGCCCTGCAATGAATGGTAATAAAAAAGAACTGTAGCTCCACCGCTTCCATAGTAGCGCCCTTAACTAGGTGGTGAACGGAAAAGCGCCAGGCCATTGTGGGGCTCTGACAAAAGAGTCGAAATTGCGAGGGGCCACAGATCACCCCGATTATGAGGCAGCAGTCGCAAGTGAATTGTAGCACCCACTATTCAGCTACATTTGGTCGGATGGACTACCAGGTTAGAACTACCACTCATTTCTCGTATACCACTACCAAATGTAAAGTGCAATAGCGTCACCCCTTTGAGGCTGTGACTACGCCTTGCACCTTAGTGACCGCAAACTTCACCGTGACAACAAACAATTATTAGAGCTAAACAGTAGGTGACAGTGAACTTGTCTGTGACTAAACCGAGAGCGCATTCTCTCGATGGGAGTGAGTAATGCCTGGCACATGCTGAGCTGATTTACTGGTGTTTTCAAGCGCTGTCATTCCCTGATCGAGCATGAAGTTACGTCGACCCGAATGAGGGTGAAAATATCGGGAGGACTATGTCTATCCCAGATATCTATGTTCAAGGTCTCAGCAGGCACCTGCTTTGTCCCGGTGACGACTGAAAAACAAAAAAAAACAAGAGCACGACTCCAAACAGCTTAAGATGGTAAGAGTGCAATTTAGGAATTCAGTTGATGCATTTTCATGGCCATGCAATGGCTGCTGTTGCAACAACGGCAAAGCCAAAGGAGACCATGAAAGCGTTTTCCATCTCCCATGACGTTGCAGCGTGGCTGCTACCAACTATTGTAGCAAAGCTATTGTCACCAATAAAGTACTTTCTAGCGCACCTTCAAAAAAACGTCGAAGCATTACTGGGAACACCCACCGTAGTGTACCTACCTGCCACATTGTACCTACCTGCCACATTGTTGGTAGCTCCCTGCGCTCGCCGTGATGGTTGAGTATGACGACAATAGCAACACCGGATTTATTGTGCACTGGCAGCTTGGGCAAAGAAGACGAGAGAAATTAGGGCCGCCGGTAAGACATGCGAACATTTCTGATATATATGTAGTCTGTGTACTGTAAGGTGAAACCACCACAGTGTAGACAATGCAAAGATAGGTAAGTGAAAATAAACAATAATGTACAATATAAATTAAAATGTTCACATTGCCTCATTTGAACAGCAATCATTCTAGCACTTTCAGTGCAAAAGTACACGTTGCTTTGGTGTTCATAGTGACAATTTTTGATTATTGCTAACGCTAAATTAGCGCAGCGTCTTGCTATCTAGATTGGTGTTAAAACACTTGTTTGAGGGTTGATCTCCGCATGTATTTTAAATCTGCAATTTCAATCTTATTCTCATTACAGCCTGGGCGCCCCCGAGTTATTCAAGAGGCAAGTGCTTTATCCTAACGAAAACTGTGGTCTTCCATGACTAAACACATCACTCTTAACTGCAGTTGGTAGAGAATAGTTACCAAGCGCATGCCCCTAAGACAACGGAAATGGTTTAGTATTGTGTGCTTTTATAATATATAATTTATTATCTTCATACATTCGAGTAGTTGGTGCCCCAAGGATGAAATAAAAAGGACGCCTCAGATAGCGTTGAAACAATGCTTCTTCTGAAAGCCCAGTACAGGGAAAGTTCACTATTTCTGAGCTTTCTTTCCACAAAAGAAGGCGGTAAATAAATCTTAACTTGAGGGCTTCGAGCCAGATTAAAATAAAGAGAATGGCTAATTGAAAAATTTGAATCAATAATACATTCGCGTAAATATTTGCTTGTGCAGCGATTGCTGCAGCTTTAAAAATACCTGTGCTAAATGTTCCTACACTACTGCAAATACCCAAAGTACGTAATTTTGGCACTTAGCGACTCCTGTGGGTGAAGTGCCTACTGGCGTATAAGCTAACCTTCGATGACGTCGATGTTAGAAGTAAGCTTGTACGCGATTGCAGACACAGAGTCTGCTCAGGAAGACCGGTGCGTGACATCCACACTACTCTTTTCTACGCTTTATAAACTTACTGTTTATCATGTCTGTCGATATACTTGTGTCTCAGAGAGTTGTGTGATACTGTTTCCACCATAACTGTAGCACCGGAGAAGTGCCGGTGAAAGAAGCATTCGTTCACTTGGTGAGACGATGGCATGGACTCTCGCGCAGGATGGGGATCAGATAAAGTATTTAAGGCAACGTAGGAAGGCTAATAATTGTAATTACTTTTCAGTGATTTGCGTTAATTGAAATATTTGAACACTTTTATTTTTTAAAAGCCATCTTTGTGCAATACTATTTATGTGTTCAGTGCCCATCGCACGCTTCCTCTAGTGTGAACCCGCTACACAACATCTATGCATGGACGACTTTCAAGGCCCCTAAGGTGCTGTGCAGCTAGCACTTGTGGCAGCTGCGTACTAATAATTTAGGACTGTAATCTGGGAACTTTGTGGGCCTCTGTTCTAGCTTAGCAGAATGACTCTAACGCTGGCCAGCGTCTGCTATTGCTTGGAGTTTTGTGACGTCATTCTCACTGGAGCATATTGAGCTGGAATGAATAAATGTGCCAATATGATCTGGTGTTGGAGACCTGTGTGCTGTGTCAAAGTAATTACATTGGTGATCGAGAATGAGACTTCTTCATTTGGACCTGCCCAGCGTTGACTACCCACTTAGAGGCGGCACTTGTGGCAGGCGTTTTTGCAACGAACAAGCTGTTAGAGATCCCGACTAGATATTGAACCAACCTTATGTCTGACGCAGCGGACGCCTGTAGGTGATGATGATGATGATAAAAACGTTATAACTCCCAAAAGAAAGGACCGGCTGAGAGGTCGGTTACGCTGCTTAGAGGAGGTCAGCGGGGATCCTTTGGGACACCGCGGCCTCCAATGCGCGTCAGATTACCCGGAATTGCTTTGCCGAGTAAGTGATATGCAGAAAGGACTCCCATGTATCTTCTGTGTGAGAAGCGTCAGCGTAATGTGGGCATGTCCACGCCTTGTGTATGAGGGTGGCCGATAATGAGGAGTATTTACAGTTTGGTGTGACGAGGTGCGGGTATACCTAGCCATAAAGCCAGGGGTTGGAAAAGACACCTGTCTGAAGCTTGCGCCACAGAACGGCATCACGTCGAGGTAGGTCTTTGTGAGCTGTAGGATAGCGGAGACGGCCTAGCCTGTAGTGCTGTAGAATGTCTGGGTAAGTGACCAAAGGAGTTTGGTCACTTACAGACCTGAGAGGGCGAAGAATGAGAAGTATAAAGTGTAAGGACCTCCGCCTGGCAGTTGAGATCTCGGGTGAGAGTGTGTGCCAGCGCATTTCCACTAAGGAATTATGAGCTGGGGCTCACATAAGAAAACGAGGTGAGATAGGCGGGGTGTGATGCTTTATGATTGAGTATGCCTGTGTAGAGATATGGCCCACGTCGAAATTTTGGATGCCGAGTTGAGAATCACTTACGATCCCCTTGGTTATTGGGTCGGTCATTGCCAAAGCAATGGCAACCTCTTCGGCAACTGTTATATCGGTGGAGTGAATTACACTACATGCCGCGCTCCACCCACGGTGTAGGGCCAGGGCAACAGCCACCATTGTTGATCAATGTGGGTATCGCGAGGCGTCTGTGTAAGGGACATCGGAACAATTTGAAAGACGTTTCTGTAGTTGGCATCCTCGGTGAGCCCTACGATCTACATGATGTTCAGGGTGCATGAGTTTGGGGATTGCAGGAATACGAAGACTGAGACGTTGATCTGTCGGTACATCTTGGTAAGTGGTGGCCGCCCGCGTGGGGATGAGTCCAGTTTGGTGCAATATGGCACGTCCCGCATGCGTGAGCGAGAGCTGCTGGTACTGTGACCTAAGGGTAGCTTTTATAAGCTCAATGACTATGTTCGACACCCCAAGGACTTTAAGCTTGGAG